CTCGGATTCATCCGAAACGTCCAGGCTTGTGGACCACTGTCGTCTAACTATGACTGAACTTCGTTCTTTTGGAGTCCGGGTGACCAATGACAGAATACGTGCTGTGGGTCGTGGTTGATGTTGGGACGTGCTGACTGTTCTGAGTGCATGTGGGTTCATTTCCTCCGTGTGTTTCAGGGAATGGCTACACACGGACGAAGCCGCTCCGCTGGTGGTTCCGCCCCGCACGGAGAGGAGCGTCAAGGGATGACGTCGTCGCCGGCAAGGGAAATGAGTCGGGGAGTTGGAGGTGGGGAGGAAGAACGACGTGCTCAAAACTTGTGGTGCGACTACAGCAAACGTGTCTGGTATTTGTACTGGGCGAGCCAGGACGGCTCCCACCCGTTGCAACCACCTTGCGGGTCGCTCTTCTTCGTCGCCGTTCGTGCCGACAGAACGCGTCTCGCAGGGTCCATCGTCTAGTGGGTCGACGATGGCGAATTCAATTTCAAGTTTACGTTGAAGAAGCATTACAGAAGTGATGGTTCTGTCGACGGCATCGCAAAGGGATGCAAGGTTGTCGGGAGGATGTTCGGCGAGTATGGCCGTAGTACGATGTCTTTGCCTCACTTTCTCCCGTTAGCGCCGGGGCACGACGAGGCCGTTCACGTCACAGACTTCCTCGAGGTCTGGGCGAAATCTGGTACCTCTGTCAGTGCCGTGGACGTCAGACCTGGAACATCGATCAGTGGTCCTGTTGGGTTCGCGGGAGGAGAGTGAAAGGGAGATGGGAGGTCAGGGCGGCCTGCCAGCTACGCCTCCTGATCAAGAGGTGCGCATGTCGGACGACTCGGAGGACGACCATCCGCGTGCTCCTTTGAAACCGGGCTTGCATGTATCTCGCCGCCATGGTTTGCTTGGGGAGTCGACGCCACATGGAGGCGGCGATGGCGAACGGTTGCGACAGGGCTCAGAATCGACGACTCCTCGTGGTCTGGTCGAAAGGATTGGTTCGTTCGTTCGTGGCATGCAGGTGGCCGAGGTTTCGCCTGGAGATCGAGCGGGTGGTCCGCAGGTTCGAGAGGTGCGTGGGTCAAATGAGACGACTCGCCGGGCCCGACCAGCGCCTGGGGAACTACAGACGGAGTTGAGCCAGGAACGAGAAGCAAGTGGGAACGTCACCGGTGAGGAGGAGGTGTCCGAGCAGGGGCTGTTCGGTGAGAGATCGGCTGAAAAGACTCAGTCGGGAGGCAAGCACAACTTGTCGGATGAGGAAGAGCAAGAGGGACTAGGTGCTCTGAAAAGGCAGAGAAAGGTAGGAGGGAGTGCTCGGACGCCAACAACACGAGAGGGCGGTTCCGTTGAGAAGAGGGAAAGGGTTGGAGGTGGGGATGAAACGCCAAAAGACTCGTCAACACAGCGAAGAACCGGTGAGTCTTCCGGGAAAAGGGCGAAATCATCGAGGGGGAAGAAAGCAGACGAGGGCGACAGCGGGGAGGGGGAATGACGTGGAGATTAACCTCAATGCCTTTAACCTCGACAATGCGTTCTTCCTCGAGATGCAGACAGGGGTGCAGAAGGACGTCGTGTTGCACATCCACCCCGAAAGAATTTTAGCTATTCCAGACTGGGAAAACGCGTACAACCACCGATCCTTGGACGAGTTCCTCGTTGATACCATCGCGTCGGCTATGATCGACTGCTACGAACGTAAAGACATGAGATACACGAAGCCCATTTTCGTTCTCGCTCCGATCGTCGCGCCTCCAGAGAACGGCGAACCTGCTGTGCGCGTGCTGCCTGCTGACTTCGACAGCTCACACCCGTAGAAATATTGGTACTATCCTGTGTGTGGACAGCATAACGCGAGGGCGGCGATGATGGTGAAAGACCATCTCGTGTTTGATTACTACAACTTTTGTAAATGGCCGTTCAGACCGATCTACTTCCCTGATGACGAGTTCGACGGCTACGCCCATGTCAGCTGCGAAGACAACATGAAAGAAAAGAAGAATCCACCGCGCTTGCAGGTTTTGTCTATGCGGGACATTCGCAATATCTGGAAAATAAAGGGCAAACCGCGTGTGGTGCTTGGCAATGCCTCGAAGAAACAGGACGAGGTGCGAAAGTGGGTGTGGTTCATGGCGTTGGCAATGAAGAAGACGCCGTACACGCCTATCTGGAACCTGTCAACGGAAGCAAAGAAAAGAAAGGAATGGGCTGAGAAACTTCGATACTACCTCCCGCTGGCCATGGCAGATAACTCCGTCTTCGCTTTGGGGTTGAAGTTCTATGAGGAGTGGTCGAAAGGGAAACTCCTTGCTTCCGACGGCCCGCGTTGGACTGAAAAGCCACCCACCCATGAGGAGGTGGCCAAGCCAGGCCTCTCCACTATGACTTACAGCCAGGGGCTGAAGAAACACGTCTGGTACGTGAAGGTGGACGACCCGTCGTTGAAAAGGGGGAAGGGGAAGCCAAAGAAAGGCGCGGAGGAGAAAATTTTCTACGTCCAAGTTCCGGAGCCGGATGTCCACTGCTGGAAGGAATTGGTGGACTTGACGGACCACGAGAAGAAAAGGCTGTTGAACAGCGTCTTAAACCTTAACGTCGTGTGGGTTCAAACGAGTAGCAAAAAGTTGGCCGAGCAGGGGAAGTTCAGTGTCAAGGAGATGGTCGACATAATAAAAATGGACCGGATTATGCTGAGGCTGTGGCACTACGTGGAGTTCGAGTATGAGGAAATGGATAAGCGGGAGTGGAATGCCAACTCCACGTTCTTCAGGTCCAAGAAGCAACTGTTCGAAGAGTTCAAGGACAGAGGTCTCGACGACAAGCTTTGGAACGAGAGCAGGAAATTTTTCACAGACACCACATACGTCAACAAGTGCCCTCAGTTTCTCAGGTGTCATCACGACAACAACATCAAGAGAATGGCGGCCCTCGTCAACGACCAGCATTTCCCAGCGGAGTGGAAGCGTGTCGTCCTTTCGGTGATCACTGGAGATCGCGGCAAAGGCAAAAAAAACCCTCGGGGCGTTGATGAATGCATCAACATTATGTGGACAAGGACAAGCGCCGTGACGACGCTGGCCCAGTTTAACGTCGACCCATTGACTGCCATAGATTACAAGGCCGCGCTGGGAAAACTAGGGCATCAGCTACGCTCCCACACTTGCGTGCTCGACTTGTGCGGAACTGTTGACCGTGCGCAATGGGACTTTGGGACATTCGCGTCTCTGAGTGAGGTGCTGGGTTTCGTTTGTCAGGACTACTGGACATTGGTGGTATTCGTCCCCTGCCTGTGGAACCTCTCCTTCATGACATGTTTGTTTGCGCTTGGGGCTACCCGATGCTACACGGGGAAGTGGGTTCGGAAGACGGCATCGAAGAAGACGCATCAGTTCGGAAACAGCGTTTGGGAGGATGTGATGCACATCCTTTTCAAAGGCGAGGATCCTCGGCTACTGACTCACCCGGTGTACGAGGGAGCTGTTGCTGAAGACGACGACGCCGCTCTCCGGAGGAAACAGAAAGTGACACCCACGGTTATGGAGGAGAAGTCTTTCAAGTCTTTGACTTTCGCGGACATCGGAAACCTGACCCAGAGGGGGGCTCTGTACAAGGACGGCGAGCGGAATCCGAATCAGTTGTGCAATCAGATTCTTTTCTTCTGTGGTGTGGCGGATGCCGTGCTGTTCTTGGGCAAGCCGCACGCGCAGGTGGTGTGGAGTCTGCTTCAGCAGGGAATGCACGTCTTGGCCGTGGATGGGGACACAACGCAGCTCGAATACACCGTGCAGTATGTCACCCATGAAGTGTCGTCCAAGGCTTACCCATGTGATTTCCAGCATGTCGTGGTCGAGCCCGTTTATGACCCGGACAAGGACATGTTCTTCAAGTTGACTCCGAAGAAAAGGCGCCAAGTCTACTTCTTCCTTTACGGCGAACAACCAAGGTTGAGATTTGACCCGCAGTACGTGGTGCGGAAGGAAGTCGCCATTGCGGTCCTCCAGGGCTACCATAGAGCGAGTCGGGCCAGCGCTGTGAGCTTCATTAAGAGGCTGGAATATGTCTTTTTTAACGAGGATGTTGTCGATCCGGCCGACTTCACTTTGGATAAGTACAAGCTGGCATTCGGTGAGGAGGACGGCTTCAATATCGAGACTGAGCAAGAGGAGAGCGTTGAGGATGACCTCTTTGATTTGGACGGGCAATTGGCCATCTTCAACGCCCAAGTTTCTGAGTCGCCGTCAGTATGCAAACCGGGGACACCTCTCGCTACACCTACCTCAGGCGGTCCCATGCCCGTGTCCTCCTCAGCGCCTGTCAAGAGGGGTGGGTTGTCCCGTCTGAGGAGTTCACCGGGGGAGCCTATTCGTCTCACGCCGCAACGCGAACGTCTTCGACCCGGCCATCCAGTTCCTTCGGACCATCCACATCTCAAGGCTCCTGCGACTCCCTTCCACATGGGCGACAAACACACCTTCTCCACATCCGAAAATTGGGGCCATGATATCGTGTGGCACCCAGACCATTTCCAGCCAGTCCTTCTCGACGACGAATGGGCAGTGGCTGTGAGGGACGTAAGTGGAGGGTGGATATATGACGATCGTTGGGACCTCGAGACATTCGAATCTCGCGCCTACGATGCAGTATTGGAGAGATTAAGTGAGGTCAATCGACGAAGTAAGGACGACCCTGCTCTTCGCGAATACGGGGACACGTTGTTCGAGTTCTTGCAGTCAAATAAATGGCTGGAAGTGTCCTCCGTGTTCTACGCCCTTCCGTCAAGCCCGTCAATTAAGCAAGTGAGTTGGGAGTTGCCTGGGGTCACCCCGCCGGCAGGAGATGTGAAGCGCAAGTCTCGCGGAAAGGACGATGACGGGGATGGTGAAGGCGGCGGGCAATGAGGTACTGGAGGTGGAAGTGAACAGCGTTCGACGAAACAGCGGTCTCCGGGGCACGCAGGCGGCGGAAAGGGGAAAAAGGGAAGCCGGGAGAAGAAGAAGCCTCGCAGCGGAGAGAAGACAAAGCATCACAGAGGAGACGGGCAGGGGGCCGATGTCGACCGCGACGAGGACGGTGGGGTTCTGGCGGTAACAGGCAGCACCTCAATGGAGACGGGGAACGACTTGAGGCCTGGGTGTATTACGCGGCCTGGCGAGCAGGACCCTGTGATTAGCTCGACCAGCGAAACACAGTTTGTCGATGCGGTTGGCGAGGCGGGTGTCGCAAAGCATGGAACATGCTTCGCTCAACTCCAAAAACGGTTGGCGGATTGTCTCGGATCAATCCGAACCTCGGAGACGGCCTCGTTGTCCGGAACTCAATGCCTTCCGGGAAGCGAGACGACAACATACCACTGGTCCGGCAGCGACAACCTGGAACCATGTTCCGTTTCGCCTCAAAAGGAATTTCGGATTAATCCGAACCGCGAAGGCCGTGCCATCGAGGGAGCACAGTTGTCTACAGAACTCGAACGGGTGGTCCGGGTTTCCGAAAACCCTGGCGACGGAATTCGGATTCATCCGAACCAGGAAGCCGTGTCTGCCATGACAGACGATCGGTGTCAGGATGCAGTAATGCTGTGCGTGGAATCCCACAAGGAGCTGCAGGCGAACTGTCATTGGAAATTGCGGGGGCTCAGATGAATCCGAACCAGGGCCCTGTGAACATCTCCCTCCCTGATGCATCTTTGGAGACGACCGTGATTCGGATTCATCCGAGGCACACGGACGAAGGACTTCAACTGGCAGGCGTTGAGGGTTGTCGACTACTGACGACTTTGGACAAGGACAATTCCGCCGACGACCGGATTGATCCGACACTCAAGGACGTCGAGATGGAGCTACCAGTTCAGCCGGGATACGACGATCCCTTGTACTCCGCCCTTCACAACGAGGCGACGGGGGAGGACGATCTGAAGAAGGCCTCTGACGCTGTTGGAGATAGATTTCTCTATTTGAGTGGCGACGACAAAGACACAACGTACGGGGACAAGAAGTTAAGGGGGGTAGAGGTAATGTTGGACATCCATGGGACATTGAGCCCAACACAATACGACACAGTGGCAATGGAGAAAACACAACCTGCCGATGTTGTGGACGTCGACGATCTTTGTCCGGAGACAAATATACCGTCTACGGTCATCGACGCCGACATCTCGAGCCTGTCAAGTTTCCCTGTGGGTTTGGAGCACGTCGACGCGCGCAGGGGTGCCAATCGTGCTGGGACTGCCGTCGGTGGGCTCTGGTGAAGTGGTAGCTAGGCCTGGTAAGCACTGACTTTCTCTGCTTTCTTCCCGCTCGTCAGCCCGTTCGTGAAGTGTTGTTTGCTTCGTCGATTTCGGGGAGGTGTATAGGCGGCCGCCAACTGGATTGTGACGATGTGCTTCGTGTTGTTTGCTTGGTTGCTCTTGCGAACCTGTGTTGTTGATCTCCTGCTGAACTGTCTGAGTGGCTATTTCTTGTACAGGTCGACGAACTCGTGGACAAACACCCATGTCGCAGGAGCCGCCTGCCCTCGCSAGGTTGTCAGTCCTGGTTGCGGGAGGCACTGGTCGTCGCAATGTCACTTATGCGTTTCCTGGGGACACTAAGCCTCGAGGCCCTCCCAGAAGGGTAGTCGTGCCCGTATTGGGCTCCCGCGCAAGACTCGTTGCAGAGGCAGCGGATGTTGCCGAAAAAGACTGCAAGGAATTCCTTCTCGAGGCTTGCAGGGATATAAAGGACAGTGCTAGTTTAGAATCAACTGTGTGTAGAAGGTCCAGAAGTAGGGGTGACGTTATGCGTGAACTTTTCGGACCACAGAGTAGCGGTTCCTCGGACCATAGCCGCTAGGACGGCATTTTCTCATAGTGCCCTGTCCTTTGTGCTTGCTGTTTGCTGCGGGTGTTTGTTGAACAGGGTTTCCTCGAGATGGAAGAGCAGTCCTTGAAGACGTTATCTGCTCCCGGTTGCCGCTCACTATCATCGTCTCGCGTTTGCCGTCGCACAGTTTACAGGTATCCGTCAAGGACATCGTTGCACTCGTGGATAGATTTGGGGAGCTCAACGATGAGGTTGTCAATTTCTACATGACGATGCTACTGGACGACTGCGGCCGGACTGCCACTACCATGAAGACATACACCTTTAACTCCTTCTTCGCCTCTTCACTGCTTCTGCGAGGTCCGACAGCTGTTCTTAGATGGGCTAAAGATGTCGACCTCCTGTCTCATGACCTCGTCTGGGCACCGGTGTACAAGGACGGCGAACACCGGAGCCTTTTGGCCATTGACTTCTCTAGACGTGTTTTCGAAATCTATGATTCTTTCTCGGGTTCGTCATCCAAAGATTCCTTCTACTCCACACTTCTGGATAAAACTGTTAAATTTTTGAACACGGTGGCAGGTSCCGCCGGTGATGGTCGCACTTTCGACCACTTCGCTCGCGAGGTCAGCGTGAAAGGTGTCCCTCGGCAGCACGACGGGGCTAGTTGTGGGGTGTTCATRTTGATGTTCGCTTCCTGTTTGGCGAGAGGTTTACGTCCACCTTTTGGTTTCTCCCATAGACACATCTCCTCTATCAGAGCTAGACTAGCTTTGGCGATTTGCGATGTTGGTAGGTAAGCGTCTATCTCTTTGTTGATCATGTAGTGTAGAAGGGTTGATGTAGAAGAACATTTCGTTCTTCTTCGGACGAAATTTGTTCCTTTTCAATTTTCCCGTGAGGGACTGGTGGGTGTTCTCGGTTTGGTTCAGAGCAGAACTGGCTGTCACTGCCAGGAAATCTCCGGGTGAACTTGTCATGTCCCCGGCGTGTTTGTCGTCGACAATATTGTTCTTTCTCATTGGATTTCAATTATCACGAACATCCCCGTTGTTGGGGCGCCTGTTTCGTGATTGAATATCTCGCTTTCGTCATTTTGCGCCTTGTGTGATGTGATGTTCTGCCCGCATACTCGGATGCATCCGGACTCGAACTAACTCTATACTTTTCTGCCTCTCTCCCGAACCTTCCCTGTCATCTACACTCATCTATGCATTTTCACTTTGAATGTTGTGAGGCGTCACAGAAAACAAAATACAACACACGGGCCTCTTTATACATTTGATGGCCCTTCTGGCCCTCCGCACTGTGTGCTTTGTGATTCCGACATTGAATGCTGTCAATTCTTTGGCCTGGCAAAGCTCCCCCTCTGCACGAGCATTCATACATTCGGTTCCTATGCATTACCCAATACAACGAAAAATTAGAATGTGCCGACCCAAAAGACGACGCCAATGGCTGCTCGAATGTGACGAGATTTGAATTAAGGTGGCGGGGCTGAAATACAATTGCATGATTGGACAAAATTGGATGTGGTGACGAAAGGATAAATCACAACACGGGCTAAGGTCTTTGCTATAGAGGACTTGAGTTAGTCCGTCGCACACTTAAGGCCAGCGAACGAAGTGGGCGCTCGAACTCCGAAACTGCTTGCTGGAGGCAGCACCCGCATTTGTACTCGAGCAGACCGGTCTCTACCTTCAACTTGTTTCAAAGCGACTATACTAATCGCTTGAAGTTATTTCACATATAGTCTCTGAGGATCCTACACAGACATATGTTGGTTTCCTGCAGATTATGCCCATTACATTTCAGTAAGGTGAACTCATACATGTATCGAATTTGACACACAAAACAAAGGGCCGAAGGTCAGAGCTCCCCTGTCATCTCGGATGCATCCGAACTTTGCTTCCTCTCGCCTAACGAAAACCTTGCAACTCTTGTACAGCTACACTTGTGGTTTTCGCATGTTCCTCGAACGTGCGTCTCCTGTGCCAGATGTCGACATGAAAAAAAAATTCAGTGCGATCATCCACACTCTCTCTGTCTCTCTCTGTGTCTCTATCTATGTCCCTGTCTCTGTCTCTGTCTTCCTCTCCATCTCTCTGCGCGCTCTTTCTATCTCTGTCAGCTCTGTCTAGATCGTAGCGAAGCGACTCACAGCCGAGACACTCCGGATGGATCAGAAATGTGGTGGATGATGGTACAATGTTTCTCTCTCTCTCTCTCTCTCTCTCTCTCTCTCTCTCT